TTCTCTTTCTTCCTAGTTGTAGAATTTCCACTCAGCCAGCCTTCCTGTGGTTCTGGATGATGTCCCTTCCGTCTTTTAGGTGTAATTTGAATTGGTTGTTCGAGGCAGCAATCTCCAGCGTTAACCTATGCCGCCATCTTGGTTTCTCCTCCCCAAACTCCTCTGAAGGTTTTGAAGGATATGACACTCTGGCTGCTTAGTGGAGAATGGGTTAGATGTCAGCTAGAGAGCACTGGAGAGAAACCAAAGGAGAGTTGTGGCAATAATTCAGATGAGATCATGGTGGATTTGGAGATGCTGGTGGTAGTGAGATGGTAAAAACATAGCCCTAGCTGGTTTGGATCAGTGGATAGTGTCAGCCTGCTGACTGAAGGGTCCTGGGTTTGATTCCCATCAAGGGCATGTATCTCAGGTACAGGCTTGATCTCTGGCCCTGGTCAGGGTGTGTACAGGAGGCAACCAAAGTCTCTCTCTCATATTGATGTTTCTCTGTCTCTCCCTTTCCCTTCCACACCCTCTAAAAACCAATAGAAAAATATCCTTGGGTGAGGACTAACAACAACAAAACCCACACAAATGTGTTATATGGAAGCTAAAATCAATACAATTTGTTGACATGGGGTGTCGAGGAGGACAAAGGAGTTTAAGATGATGTTCAGGTTAATTCTTGGGCAACTGGAGGGATGGTGGTACCACCTGTGGGGGGAAAAGAACCTAACCTAGCAGGAGATGAGTAGTAAGAGAGCAGGAGATGAGTAGTAAGAGGGCAGGTGATGAGTTCAGTAAGAGTCAGGCAGTACTTGACTGATGCCTTCAAGTCATACGGGTGAACAACTCTATGAGGAAGCAGGCTCTATGGGCCTGGAGCTCCAGAAAGGTGTCTGGTCTAGAACTGTGGCTCTCAGCCAATGGGCACACAGATGGTAATGAAAGCCAAGTGGTGAGTGGGTAAGTAAGTCTGCCCAGGGAGAGGGTGTAGGGTGAGTGGTATAGGCTGAGTAGGAGTCCAGGGCAGAGGCTTGGAAAATTCCAACAGCGAAGGGAAGGGAACTAGGAGGCAGCTGTCAAGACATGAAAAGGAATATGGTAGAGAAATAGGAAGAGAGACCAGGACGGTGTTGCAGAAGCAACTGCTTTTAAAAGGAGGGAGAGCCCAGTAATGTGGCTCAGTGGTTGAGCATCAACCTATGAACCAGGAGCTCAAGGTTCAATTCCTGGTTAGGACACATGTCCATGTTGCAGGCTTAATCTCCAGTGTGGGGCGTGCAGAGGGCAGCTCATCAATGGTTCTCTCTCATCACTGATGTTTCTCTCTCTCCCTATCAATAAAAGTATATTAAAAAAAAAAAAAAAAAGAGGGAGATGTCAGGAGCACCACATATGCTCAGGATGGAGCTGGAGGACTAATGTTCTGCTGGGTTTAGTGATAGCTAACCCAGCCATCTCCAAGTGTTTTAAATATATATGTAAGTAAGTAAAATTTGAGTATTTCATCTGTAATAGTAAAAGCTCAACTTCTCCAAAACACATTTTATCCTAGGGATACAGAGAGGGAAAGTGTTTGCCAGATGTCCCGCAGCCAGCAGAAGAGTGCAGAACTTTAAACATCAGGACCTCAGATCCTAACTTGTGAAACCTTTACTACCATGATTTGGGGCTGCTGCTCAGTCATCTGAACAGAGTTGAAGCACGTGCGTAAAACCTTGTTTCATGGAGCAGTCACTCCTCACATCACCGGACCTCCCAACTGTGAGAAGTGGGGGTGCGCTCACTTTCCAGAGGACCGGCCCAGCGAGGCTCAGCTGGTGAAGTGTCAGAGCTGAGATCAGAGTCAGTGGGACTCAATTGTGACAGACAGGAACTTCCTCTCAGAAAGAGCAACAACCTTCTAGAGGTGCCCAGGCCCAGACTTCAGCAGGTGGTAGTATTGAAAACAAGCTCTGAAGCTGACCGGTTGGATAAATTACGAAATTTATTTATATTTCGCCTTTTAAAAGCCAGAACGTAACAAATTTCACTTTCTGGAAAGTCATCTTATTAGAAATACATGAAGTGCACTTAATACAAGGAAAGCAGTTTCTTGGTACCTCCAGGGAGACGGATACGTTCTCTTTAGGCCCTCAAATGAAGGTTTTACTCAAACTTCCCTTTAAACTTAGACCGGGACGATCTCAATTGAGGGAGGTCCGAGTGAACTCTTTCCAAAAACTACAGTGAGAAAGCTGAGCTTAACATCTGGGCCTCCCAAGCAACAGCACAATAGAAAATATTACTTCGCCCCAAAGGGCCCTGTCTTTGCTGGTTACTAGGCATCCGAAGTTCTTACTGGCAGGTAAGGAGAGTCCCGTAGCAGGGCACAGGCCCAAAGCCCTGTCATTTGCAACCTCAGTCAATGACCAGAAGTAATTTCCTATCAGATTAGAGAGGGCTGACATGAAAACGCAAACCTAGATCTAGATGCTGTTTGGTCGATCAGAGATTCTGCTCCCGTGGATTTGACTGCCAGCTCTTAGCCCTGTGTTTATTAATATCGTGAAACATGTTGAACTTCAAGCTTCTTGAGCTGCTACCAAAGCAAATTTCCAGGAGACCGTTTCCATGAACAACTGCTCACAGGAGATGTTGTGCCTTTGAAGTGTCTTATCAGAAGAGACAGCAGGCTGTGATATTAGATTTCCTATCACCTCCCACTGATAGAAAAGCAATGCTGTTAAATCTAAATTAACAAAAGGTAAAGGAACTGGTACCAACTCAGGCCCCAAACACACCTTATCCTAAAAAGGCACCATGCAGGCATTTAAGACTGAACCAGTACATTCTAAGGGTGTGCAGGAGTGGCAGCAAAATATCACTGATCAAAACTTCCAGCATCAGACCATGCTAAACCCAGAACATTCACCCCAGCAGGACTCCTACAAGTTTTCCTGGGAGGTAACTCCAGCTCTGGCAGCTGTTGCAAGGACCAACTTACAGGAACTTCCTCAGCACAGGAGTTCCCCAGTGATCAGATGCACTGCTGCCAGAGCTCACACACTTCAGGGACGAGGAGAGGAGACACTTATCTCATTTGTGCTATTCATGACCCACAAAAGGCCCTGGCTGGCTTGGAGGACCTGAGAGAGGAATGCTGGGTGAGAGGAACAAGAGTGAAACAAGAACAGGTTGAGAGGCTGGGTTTTCTTCGGGAAGAAGCAGCAGAAACCCCAGGAAGTAGCCGAGGAGCAATCAAAGACAAGATGTGACAAACCGGTTAACTGTAGGGGAAGAGCCCAAAGGAAAGGAGGGCTCTGACCTGGGAACCTGCTTCCCCATTAGAAGTGACCTTGTCCTAACACCACTTCCAGGTCTATTGTATATTTAAAAATTCACACATAACATGTAATGGAAGCTCTGGAACTCGAGACGGACAGTAGAAGCCTTGCTCACTGATCGGTGATGGAGCGTTGCAACACCTGATTCATCATGTCCTCTTCATCAACATCGTAATCCTAGGGGCAAAACACAGGCACAACCTCAGCACTTGTTTGCAGTTGCAAGGACTCACTTTCAGTAGAAGCAGGAGAGCTGAGCACAGGGCCCTGGAGAAGGCTGCCAGGGACCAGCTCCCAGCTCCATGGTTGGCAATGCTAGCCATGGAAGTCTAGACTGACTGCTTGATTTCTCTGTGCCTCTGCTGCGTATCCTGATGATTAAAACAATGTGGCTCCCTCAAATGGGGAGAATGAGGACCAGTGAGCACCCAGAGGAACCTGACACAGACCAGTACTCATATGTGGAGTGTACTGTAGTGAAACTAGCCTTTCTTTACTTTTTTTTTTTTTATAATTCTCAACTGACAATATTTTTTTTCCATTGATTTTTTTTTTTAGAGAGAGTAGAAGGCAGGCAGGGAGGGAGAGAAACATCGATGTGAGAGAGACACCTCACATTGATTGGTTGCCTCCCGCATATGCCCTGATCAGGACCAGGGATGGAACTTGCATCCCAGGTACATGCCCTTCACCTGGAATCAAACCTGTGATCCTTGGGTGCATGGACCAATGCTCTAACCACTGGCCATGGTAAAACCAGCCTTTCTAACTCAACGAGGCAAAGTTTCTACTTGGGCATTATATTCATCTTTATGGCATTAACAAAAAGGACAGTTATTTTCAAGTCTGAGTTTCAGATACATATCAGACCATGAATACTCTTTACAACAACTCAGTAAAAAGTCATGCTTTCCTTCTCAGGTCTTGAAATAGAGCCATTAAGACTGACTACTGCCTGGCTGGTGCAGTTCAGTGGTTGAGCACTGACCTATGAACCTGGAGGTCACAGTTAGATTCCTGGTCAGGGCACATGCTCAACCCCCAGTAGGGGGCATGCAGGAGGCAGCTGATCAATATCAATGAGTCTTATGATTGATGTTCTATCTCTCTCTCCCTTCCTCTCTGAAATCAATAAAAATATATATATATAAAAAAGACTACTACAAAATTCAAACTTGACACTTACATGTATAAATAAAAGGTTTATTCCAAGCCATTGGCCAAATTTATCTATCACTATACTGCCAAGTCAACAGTGTGTCCTTCAAAATCACTCAGCTCTAGCGAAAGGACACAAATCTAATGACCACATCTGGCCAGTGGATATGCTGTTTGACATTAAGTACGTTAAAAATAAATATGTAAGACGATATATGACATTCTGCATTTCCAGCTTCCTGGAGTTGGTACTGGCAGAGGAAATGGGCAATACTGTGCCTGTACTTACACATGACAGGGACCAGCTGGAGCTGACTGCAGCATAACGAGCCACAGGCAGTCTAGCCTGAAAATCCGATAGGGACCATTTCCATTACTTGCCTGGTCCCATTGGCATCTAAGCTAAGAATCCCAAAACAGCCCAGCCGACATGGCTCAGTGGTTGAGTGTCAAGCTAAGAACCAGGAGGTCACATTTCGATTCCCAGTCAGGGCACATGCCCGGGTTGCATGTTTGATCCCCAGTGTGGGGAATGCAAGAGGCAGCCAATCAATGATTTTCATTATTTTTTTTTTAAATATATTTTATTGATTTTTTACAGAGAGGAAGGGAGAGAGATAGAAAGTTAGAAACAATGCAAGAGGCAGCCAATCAATGATTTTCATTATTGATGTTCTATCTCTCTCTTCCTCTCCATTCCTCTCAATAAAAAAAAGAAAAATTAAGAAACAAACTAAAAAATCTCTAGCTAGTTTGGCTTAGTGGATAGAATATTGGCCTGTGGATTGAACAGTCCTGGGTTCGATTCTGGTTGGGGGCACATGCCCAGGTTGTGGGCTTGATCCCCCGTGTGGAGCATGCAGGAGGCAGCTGATCAACGATTCTCTCTCATCATTGATGTTCTCTCTCTCTCTCCGTCTGAAATAAAAAACAAAGAACAAAAATAACCCCCCCAAAAAATCTCAACCCAGGTTCTGTAACAGGTAGAAACTACACACACCAAAGGGATGGGGAGGATGGTGGCAAAAAAACAAAACAAACACCCTAGGAGCAATTTGTCACCATGTCTCAGTCTAGATAGCTGGCCAATTCATATTTTTATTTTTACCGATTTCAGAGAGGAAGGGAGAAGGAGACAGAAACATCAGTGATGAGAGAGAATCACTGATTGGCTGCCTCCTGCACGTGCCCCATGAGGGATCGAGCCTGCAACCCGGGCATGTGCCCTGACTGGGAATCGAACCATGACTTCTGGTTCATAGGTTGACGCTCAACCACCAAGCCACACTGGCTGGGCTGGCCAGTTCATCTTCAGTGTCATTCAAGAAAGGCTGTCGTCACTCATCTGGCTCAGACCACACGGCTACATTCCAGGGAACCTATAGCATCAGTGACACAGCTCAACAATAGGGCCCAAGGTTCTCCAGGTAAAATGGGGGAGAAGGGGATCAGAGCCCGGGCTCCACTTACCACAAAGGTGTCGTAAGAAAACTGGTGCCGCCGCTGGATGTGCTCGATGAAGTTGGTGCTGCGGTAGTTGGGGTCTCCCCAGGGCATTGAAGCACATATTGGACAAACCTTTCAACAAAGAAGCATGGTCTTAGGCCCCTGATGTCTGAGCTGATGTCCACTCTCTGTGGCTCATGTCTGAACCCCGCACTCCTAGGACAGCTTCCCTGACACACCAGTCCAGGGCCAGGCCACTCCTTTGTGTGCACATTGATATCAAGTCAAATAATACCCGGGGGTGAGTAAAGGCTTAAGCCATGATACTACCTTTTTCTTATCTCCTACTGTGGTTAGAATACTGTGTCAGCCCAGCAGGGGTCTAGACTATGGCCTTCCACCCTTCACACAAAATGATTCAAGACACAAAGAAAACCAAAGAAATGACAGATGAGCAATGTCCCAAGGAAGTTAAAACACAGCCTTACGTTCTGTTTTTACAGAGTAAATGGTCAGATGAGGGGGCTCAGGCTGAAAAAGCCCTCAATACAAGCAGGTGATTTGGGTTTTGAAGACTGGGAGGCATTGGGAAAGCCAAAGAGCACATGAAAGGGTGTTCCAGAAGAGGGGCAGTGGTAGCAAGGAGAAAAGGCCAAAAGGCAGCATTATAGGCAAACAGCCAGACAATCAGTGCAGCTAGAATGGACAATTCAAGGAAATGGGCAGAGGGAAGCTGTGGAGGGGCAGAAGCAGGCAAATGCATCCGGCTTAGGGATGGAACCCCACCATTTACCAGGAAGATATGGTAACAAAGGGGGTAGGCAAGAGATGAATCTGAAATGGAGGAAGACTCCTTGAGTGGCAGAGTGAGGCAGGCAGCTGAGGCATGAGTCAGGACGAGGGCCGGAAGAGGAGGAGCTCCCAAAAGGAAGTGCTGGAATACTGACAGTTACGGAGTTCTGTAGAGGGAGAGAGATGGGACAGGGGGCCAAGGGCTGAAGAAAGAGAGGCTTCGACAGAGACAAAATGACCACATGAATTTCAAGAAGCCAAAGGAGGGGAGAAAAGAGAGAAATTAGGTTGTAGTACCAGAAACCAGAGTAGTTCAGCAATACTGATCAAAATTATGAATACACTTAACCCGCAACCAAATCAATCCACAGCTAAGACTTTATTTTACAGACAGACATAAACAGGCAAAGATATGTTAAAATTTTACGTCAGCCTTTTAAAATTTACTATGAAAAACTTCAAACCTACAGAAAAGCAGATGATAGTTTGATGAACCAGCCCTTACCCCCAACACCTAGATTTAAGTTTGGCATACTTATTTCAGTAAAAAGGAAGCATTATTTTTTATTTTATTTTTTTAAATATATTTTATTGATCTTTTACAGAGTTCAGGAAGGGAGAGGGATAGAGAGTTAGAAACATCGATCAGCTTTCTCCTGCACACCCCCTACTGGGGAGGTGCCTGCAACTAAGGTACATGTCCTTAACCGGAATCGAACCTGGGACCCTTCAGTCCCCAGGCTGATGCTCTATCCACTGAGCCAAACCAGTTAGGGCAAGGAAGCATTTTTAAAAAAATGTTTTTATTGATTTCCGGGAGAGGAAGAGAGGGACAGAAACATCTATGATGAGAGAGAGTCATTGATTGGCTGCCTCCTGGACACCCCCTACTGAGAATCGAGCCTGCAACCCAGGCATGTGCCCTGACTGGGAATCGAATTGTGACCTCTTGGTTCATAGGCTGATGCTCAACCACTGAGCAACACCAGCCAGGCAAAAAAGGAAGCATTTTTAAAATATATGTATTTTATTGATTTTACAGAGAGGAAGAGAGAGGGATAGAGAGTTAAAAACATCCATGAGAGAGAAACATCGATCAGCTGCCTCCTACACGTCCCTCACTTGGGATGTGCCCACAACCAAGGTACGTGCCCTTGACCTGAATCGAACCCAGAACCCTTCAGTCCGCAGACCCACACTCTATCCACACCAGCTAGGGCTCATTGATATTTCTCTCTCTCTCCTTTCCTCTCTGAAATAAATATATATATTGATTGAATATATATATTGGTAGAATTCTGGAGAACAGAGAGACT